GTGTCCCAAGGGAACCTGATGTATTGTAGTTAGAAAGGTCTCGAAAGAGATGAAGGGTTCATATATTGGGACTTCTATATGTATTTGTTGTTGAGGATGTTTATGAGTTTTATAATTTTGTTTAAAGAATAGCTCAGTTGGAAATAAAATAGTTGTTCCTTTTATTTGCCATAGGTTTTGGTTTGCAAGTCACTCCAAAATTCAAAAGAAAAACCTATTGTTTTGTTTCTCCCATTGAGACATATTTTAAGGCCCAATTAATGAGAGATGATCTCATGGGAGCCCTTATTTTCTCCTGGTTTAAAAAAAAATGCAGCATGGTTTCGGAGAAATAACACTGTATGGACCTGAGAGTTCTGGCTCATTCAATTCTTCGATGCTTAGATAACCCAGAGGGGCTGTTAAGCATTGCTTTTCAGATCTGTGCGACAGATAGGTAGACATGTCACCCAGCATAAGCAAAAGGACAGGATGAAGATGGCAGGCTTGGGGTTTGGAAGCTGAGTATTAATTTGTAGCGTGAGAATGGAAATAGGATATATTTTTAATTTATTAATTTCCTTTTTATCTTCTGTATTAACCTTTCGAAGAATACATTTTAAAATGGTGTATGATATTGAATGTCTTTATAGTAACCTAGAATTTTTTGCATTCATCTTCCTTCTGATGAGGTCTGGGAAATGTTGCTTTGTAAGAGTCTTTTCTTGGCATTGTATTAAAACATGACTGTGGCATTTATAAAATTACCTCAGAGCAGTGCCCAGAGGATTTATAGTTTTACATATATATATATATATATATATATATATATATATATATATAGCCTTTTTCTGCTAATGAGCAGTATGTGGGAGGCAAGCAGAGTCAAGGTTATTTAGTTATGTTTTGTACATAGTTTCTGTTGGCCAATGTGGGATTTACTTCATTACATTCTGAATTTTCTGGATGATAACTATATTAATATAAGAAAATATTTTTCCCCTTCTGGGAGCTCAGTTGGAATCACTATGAGTTCTTATTGTGTTATTAATTTATTTTTAGATAAATTAACAGAAATATTCCACACCTCTTTTCCCTTTTGTCTCTTTTAGGCGGGTTGCTAACTCTGGCATGCTGGAAGCATTTATTTAAATAACACTTTTTCAAGGAAGGACAAGTGGACAGTAAGAAACAAGACAGAGTAGTGGAGAGGGGAGCAGAGACAGGAGGAAGAAGAGAGAGGAGGGGAAGCAGTGGGAAAGAGAGAAAGAGAACATAGGGAGAGGAGGGAAAATGTAGGAGATTCCCTTTCTTGTCTTTTCCACATTGCAATTTATTAGACATATTCACGGAGCAGAGCCCTGAGAGTGAGAGGAAGAGATGCTGACTTACTGGTTACTAAGCAAGAAAATTCAAACTAACTCACGCCTCTGAAGCAGCCTGAGACAGCAGCTGTAAAGAAAAGTAATAGGACTAAACCAACCGGGCACATGGCCATAACTTGTATTTTGCATGAAAGTAAAACATATTCATGATTTATGTTCTTCTTGATTAACATCTTGAGAGGTCTATGTGTACACACATAGGCATACTTTATTTACAGCTTTGTTTTGGCATCTAAACCACCTTTTGAAATACTGCAGAAGGTCAATGAAGCAATTCTAAAGTTGGTAATAATAGAAATTAAAAAGGAAAGGAAATAGAAGAAGGCAGTTTGCCACAGAGATCAAATTTTATTTTATTTTCTTCTGCCTGAAGTTTAACACAAAAGATAAATCTTTCCAGACAGCATAGGCTAAAGAATATATCATATCAACTTGTAAGTTATTAACTGAGGGTTTTTTAAAAGACAGATATCATCTCAGTAACTGTTCCAAATGCTTTTACTTTATTTTAAAGGCTGTTCTTTCCATTATTAATGCCATACCGGATCATAGAGCCATTTGAGACGAAATGAGCTTCTCTACATCCTGGAAATGCGTCTGCAGCGGCTACTGATACTTTCTGACTCATTCTAAAACATACTGTAATTTTTGGAAGATGCTTTATCTTACTGTATATGCCCTGCTGACAGTTAGAATCTAATTTATTAATTCTCTATAAGTGGAAAGCTTATGCTCCTATAAAGTAGTACCAGGATTTGTCAGGATTGGCTCAAATTCCGTGTGTTATAATGTAACATTACTACTCAAGACTCTGAATAGCTAGCATAAATAATGTCTAGACAGGGTTAATGTGGTTCAGAAAGGATTTTATTCTCATTTAAACTAAAAATATCTCTCCAACAGTATTTGCAGTACTCTTATTGAAAGTGGGGACTTTTACTTAATTGGGAAGAGGGTATGCAATCACATTCATATATGGTATCAAAGCTCACCTGCCTAGAAATACGATATGGATATAGGGAAAGTGATGTGGGATCCCTCTGATAGGAGACCAGTTTGTTAAGGCCATTACATTAGACTGTGCAAGAATTGATTCAAGTATAAGGCAAAGAAGCACCTTTAACTTTTTTGCTTTGGAACCTGTGAGTCATTTAGTCATCTTTCACACCAGATGAGATTCATCTTAAGGCTCACAGAGAGTAGGGAGGTGGTCGCTTGTGTTACTCCTGTGTGCCTGTGTGATGTTGATACTGTTTACGCAAACAAAGTAGATTGGTGTTATCTGGACTCCAGATTTATACTCAGAGGCTGTAAACATGCAAGAATACTGATTTTAGGACTTGTCCTGATTAGATTCGAACCCACAGGTCTTCATACATAAGGACTTGAAAGGAAATCTAATACAGAAACCCAATGCTGAATAGACTTGTGTTCTCTTCTTACCCTTTTACTGGCTAGCACTGGCTATGAGATGATATTGCACTCTTATTCCCATATTAAGCCTTGCTCTCTGCAAGGGTTCACAGAACTTCCGTTTAGATGAAGATTAAGTGACCACTGAGTTTGTTATCTTCCCGTGGGAAATTTGGACTGTGGCAGCAGTCAACTGAGAGGGGTCTAATGTTCACACAGTGCAAGAGAACCCTGCACTGCCTCTCTCCCCAGTGGGCTCCCATATTCTTCAACTGCCTTGATCATTATATTTTTCTCCTGGACATGTGTAACAACGACAACAAAAACAAAACCCTGCCCCGATCTCTACTGCGACATTAGCAGAAGCATTGCATGCCATGACCTTCATTGCTGTTAGAAGGAGAACTTAGCACATGATTTGCTTAACATGGCTTTATTAGGGATTTAAGGTTTTGAGGTTAAAGCACTGAGTGAATCCAGTTTCTGATCTGATAAATTTGTGTTACAGAACTGGTGCTCTCCCTCCATCCTCCTGTGAATTGGGCATGAAATACCCATTCACGGATTTGTGTGTTGTACTTTACCATTGTTTTGTCCTTTCATGCTCTTTGGCAGAAATTTGTTTTTGAAAGAGCTTAGTGTTGCCTGTAAAATGTCGATGATGATAGAACTTTTCTGTGTTCATTTTTCTTAAGGGCGTATTCCAGGGAGCAGAAAACTTGCTAAAGGAAGTGATTTAATGTTAATTTTTTAAAAATTTTATGTCAGATTCAAGCAGGATGACAAAAGTGGGCCATTATTCTAAGGGACTCACAAAGGATACTCTTTGTAAAGTTAAAGTAAATCAGACTATGTCTTGGATGTTTTCAAACCCTGCCACACACAGTCTTTGCTCCTGTAATATTTTGGTTCTGCTTTGAATGATTTCTTCTATCTCATGAGATCATGGCACTGGCTAAAGTGTTGACAGCTAAGAAGGGCCTGCTTTTCTGCTCCAAGATGACCGTTTCGTAACACGGGGAACATGTTCCTCCCTGGATGACATGTGTGTGACAAGTGTACTTTTTACTATTTTGTGCAGAACTCCAAGGCCAGCATTTAGCAATTACAGTGCCTAGGAGATCAATATCCCCCTTGCCTTCTTATAGCCCAGGCATTAAGGGCAAATCTCTAGAAGGCCTGATCTCCTCTGTTGGACCTTTGGAGACTCTAAAGCTACATAAGCACGAAGCAGGAGATTTTTCCTCTTCCATTTCCTGTCATCAGTGGAGAGTCTAAATGAAGAGGTACAAATGGTTCTTTCAAGAATTTGTCAAAGCAAAATCCACATTAGGAAAGATTTACTGGTTCCCCCTATCAATAGAAGAATCTCTCTTGATATTTCTAAGCCTTTATCTTCCCTTCAAAGAGCACACTGTCCTCGGCTTAAGTTTGCAAGGTGCATGGTTGTGGGGAAGATTATCTTCACAGGAAATGGAGATTTAGCAAGATATACTTCTGGGACAGCATGCTTTAGCAAAATAGATATTTCCCCAACTCAAAGAAAGGAAACTCAGTATTGAAAAACAAAAACAACTTACAAGCAAGTGATTCCTGGGAGAATGAGGAGTGCAGGGGACTCTTAGAGAGATGTGTTTTCTAATGTTTGCATTCAGGACATTACCTAGAGAATAAGTCTTTCCCCTTAATGTTGTTATCTTTAAATATTCAGTATTGATTTCTGACTATTCTTTCTCACAAGTTCAAGGTTATGTACTCTTTAACTACTTTGTATGGTGTCTGTACTTGTGAAAAAATGTGTGATTTCCTTTCCAGGGACTGCCGTGATCATCCTCTTAATATTGCCTGTATAATGAGTCTGGGAACTGTAACCCTAAGGCCACACCTCTCAGTCTCAGTGGCTTGTCTCTGGGTAAACCGCATCAGCAGAGCTACGACAACAGTTTAGGATAAGAACATGTACATTATTTATAAGCATATAAGACTAAATTTGGCTTGCACGTACTTGAAAATCTTTTGTCTATAAATTTTCTCATGAGTAAGCAATAGAAGAATGGAAATACCTTAAGCCAAGGGTAAAAATACCTAGTACACGCAATTTTTTTGCTATTGTGTTTTAGCATTTTGTTCTTTACTTCTTTATCAGGTAGTATAAAAGTGAATTGGATTTGAATTCTTCCTCTAGCCTCAAATCTAGATGTTTTCTTTTTTTTTTTCTTCTAGGACACTTGCTCTCTACTCTGTATGCTGAAGGATATCTTTAAAGAATTCCAGAGAAAGTCACACCTGCATATTTTCTTGCATCTGGTACTTTAAAGTTAGTACTTATTATTTATCTGTTTTCTGAAAGCTTAGTGGCCCTTTTACTGAGCAAAGCAGGCACTGGGGATGGCACTGCATTTACTAGAGCGACTATACAATGCAAGATCACAAAGTCATATCTAAGCGGAAGCATTTTGAATGACACTGAGGATGGATCTTTAAAGCATGAAGGGTAAATCTTTAAGTATATAAATTTAAAAATAAATTATGTATGGTGTCAGAGTATTACTGGATAGAATGCAGAATATGACAAAAGGATCTAGCTCTATTACAGTGTATGAAATCAGTATCTCTAAAGGGGAGAGGACCACATTGATTTAAGTAACTATGGAAATGACTGGTATGTGTAAAAATAAAAGCAAATTGAAGTGTGTGTATAAGTGCTTTAATTTATAAAGTTGTTCTCCACAAAGGAATCGTTATGAATGCTAAAATTATTGTGCATATACAGTAGGATTAAACAACTGAGTGATGGAATCAGATGTCTCATTGTAGAAATGAGAAGTAGCAGATGAAAAAGGTAGGAGGCTAGACTGATATATTGGTAAATAGAGTAAAGTTGTAAATAGCAGTATGGACTCAAATATATTTGTATAACTATATACAGAAGTATTTATAGCTATATGTGAGTCCATGAGCTAGTATAATTACATAAATATTCCTTGCTTGACTTTGAGATTCTATTCTCGGATGTGATACTAATTGGAAGGTAATTATATCATGAAGGTGGGTTCTATGATGGGATTAGTGCCCCCATAAGACTACATGGAGAACTTGCTTCCTCTCTCTTTTTATTTACCGTTTAAGAACATAGCTGTCCCCAAGCCAGGGAGTGGTCATTCACAAGAATACACCCTCATCGTAGACTTCCAGACACCACAGTTATGAGAAATAAATGTTTACAATTTAAAGCACTTAAGTGATGGTATTTTTATAGTAGTCTGAAACAAACAGGACACTCTTTTAATTGAGAGTTTATATGCAGTGGCACCTCAGTATACATGATGATACCTGGAGCGTAGATCTAGTAATATTCTCCAAAAAAGAAGCCAGAGATCCTTGGGTAAACAGCAGCTTCTAGGACTGGGACAGGGATTGTACAGATGAGCCTAGATCAATTTGTAGTAACAGAAAGCAAGGGTTCAGCCCTAATCCCCAAGAAAGGTTAAAAGAATGTAAGAACCATTTAATAAAGTTTCCAAAGCAATTACATTTTGAACAATGAAATGAATTAGTATTGGATTATAAGTCAAAATATAAAATATTTATATGGACACTTGTATTGGCGCAAATGAAGGCAGACAGAAATTATAAGAATATTTTCAGCGGGATGGCTTTGAGTTTCTCTCCGTTTAATTTGATGTTAGCTGTCGGCTTGCTGTATATAGCTTTTATTATATTTAGGTATGACCCTTGTATCCCTAATCTCTCCAAGACTTTTAACATAAATGGATGTTGAATTTTGTCGAATGCTTTTTCAGCATCTAATGAGATGATCATATGGTTATTTTCTTTCAGTTTATTTATATGCTGGATTACATTGATAGATTTTCGTATGTTGAACCAGCCCTGCATCTCAGGAATGAAGCCTACTTGATCATAATGGATAATTTTCCTCATGTGTTCTTGGATTCGGTTTGCCAGTATTTTGTTGAGGATTTTTGCATCGATGTTCATGAGTGAGATTGGCCTGTAATTCTCTTTCCTGGTTGAGTCTTTGTGTGGTTTTGGTATCAGAGTAACTGTAGCTTCATAAAAGGAATTAGGTAATGACCCTTCTGTTTCTATATTGTGGAATACATTAAGGAGTATGGGTAAAAAATGGGGCACTGATCTGAACAGAGAATTCTCAACAGAAGAAGTTCAAATGGCCAAAAGACACTTAAGGTCATGCTCAACTTCCTTAGCAATCAGGGAAATGCAAATCAAAACAACTTTGAGATATCATCTTACACCTGTGAGAATGGCTAAAGTCAAAAACACCAACGATAACCTTTGCTGGAGAGGTTGTGGAGGAAGGGGTACCCTCATCCATTGCTGGTGGGAATGCAATCTTGTGCAACCACTATGGAAGTCAGTGTTTCGGTTTCTTAGGAAATTCGGGATCAACCTACCCCTGGACCCAGCAATACCACTCTTGGGAATATACCCAAGAGATGCCCTATCATATGACAAAAGCATTTGTTCAACTATGTTCATAGCAGTATTATTTGTAATAGCCAGAACCTGGAAACAACCTAGATGCCCTTCAATGGAAAAATGGATGAAGAAAGTATGGAATATATACACGCTAGAGTACTACGCTGCGTTAAAAAACAATGACTTCTCGAATTTTGCATGCAAACGGATGGAAATAGAAAACACTATCCTGAGTGAGGTATCCCAGACCCAAAAAGATGAACATAGGATGTACTCACTCATAATTGGTTTCTAACCATAAATAAGGGTCACGGAGTCTACAATAGGTGAATCTAAAGAAGCTAAGTAAGAAGGGGAACCCAAGGAAAAACATATAGTTATCCTCTTGGCTAAGGGAAATAGACAAAATTGCTGGGGAGAAAATTGGGATCTTGGGGTGGGGTGGGTTGGGGGTAAGGGGAGATGGGGAGAGAAAAGTTAGAAGGGAAGGAGGTAGGGCCTTGGGAAATCAGGAGGATTGGGATAAAGGAAGGTTGGACAGGGGAGCACGGAACCACAATTCTTAGTTAAGGGAACCACTTTAGGGTTGGCAAGAGACCTGACCCTAGAGGGGCTCCCAGGTGTCCAAGCTGAGGTCCCCAGTTAGTTCCTTGGGCAGTTGAGAATAGGGAACCTGAAATGACCCTATCCTTGAGCAATACTGACGAATATCTTGCATATCATCATAGAACCTTCATCTGGTGATGGATGGAGATAGAGACAGAGACCCACACTGGAGCACTGGACTGAGCTCCCAAAGTCCCAATGAGGAGCAGAAGGAGGGAGAACATGAGCAAAGAAGTCGGGACCACGAGGCGTGCACCCACCCACTGAGACAGCGGAGCTGATCTATTGAGAGCTCACCAAGACCGGCTGGACTGTGACTGAAAAAGCATGGGATAAAACTGGACTCTCTGAACATGGCGAACAATGAGGGCTGATGAGACGCAAAGGACAATGGCACGGGGGTTTGATCCTACGTAATGTGATGGCTTTGTGGGAGCCCAGCCAGTTTGGATGTTCACCTTCCTAGATATGGACAGAGGTGGGAGGTCCTAGGTCTTACCACAGGGCAGAAAACCCTGACTGCTCTTTGGACTGGAGAGGGAGGGGGAAAGGAGTGGGGGGAGGGGGAGAAGGGTGGGAGGAGGGGGCGTAGGGGGGGAGGAGGGGGAGGGAAATGGGAGGCTGGGAGGAGGTGGAAACTTGTTTTTTTTTTTCTCTCCTTTTCTCAATAAAAAAAGAAAAAAAAAGAATATTTTCAGCTTTAATTAGGGAAAGACTCACAGAACCCGTAGTTCCAGCGGAGAACAGGAAAGTCGAAGGGAAGGCATGTACGCAATCTTTATAAGTAAAAAAATCCTCGGGGGACCCCGCCACACAAGCAAGGTGATTGGCTGGGTCTCCCCTACAGACACTTTCATATAAGAAGATGACTGAATAAACAAACATGTAAGGGGAATTGAAAAAAAGTTATGTGAAATAATAGTTAGGGTTTCTATTGCTGTTAAGAGACACCAGGACCACAGCAACTCTTATAATGGAAAACATTAAATTAGGGCTCACTTATAGTTCAGAGGTTTAGTCCATTATCATCATGGTGGAACATGGTGACATGCAGGCAGACGTGGTGCTAGAGAAGAAGCTGAGAGTCCCATATCTTTCAGGCAACAGGAAGTAGACTGTGTTTCACACTGAGCAAAACTTGAGCAAAACAGACATCAAGGTTTACAGTGACACAATTCCTCCAACAAAGCCACATCTACTTCAACAAAGCCACACTTCTTAACAGTGCCACTCTTATTGGGGCTCATTTTCTTTCAAACAACCGCACATTTCAAGAGATTTATATAGCTATGTTGCTTCCAAGATGCAGAACAACATCTTCTGTTCCTTTAGTATGAGTTACAAGTTGTCAAGTGTTTTCAAAGAAAAGGTTTAGACAGTGGTCGTTCCACAGTGCAGAAATCTGACAAACATTGTCTTAGGGAAGTGGTCAAGAAGAAGATCACATTGAAAATCATATAATAATCTATAATCCTTTATATTTATGATGAGAATTGCATTTAAGCACTCCATCCTTCTCAGAAGCCTGAAAATACTAATCAAAGATATTCTGCAAAAATTCCTTCACAAATTATCATGATCACCAAACCCAGAAAAGACTTCAGAAATTTCCATTGTCTCTAGGGAGAAAATACAGCATGGTCTCTTAAATGAGTTCTGCAAACAGGACAAAGGAATTAGGGAGAAACTAAGTAAATTTGACTTTAGGATGATGTTAGCTAATAAAGTGTCCATGGTGGCTCATTAATTTTGATAAATAATATGCTGATATAAAATCTTAGTAACTACCAGAAACTGGATGTACTATACACAGGAATTGTCTATACTACCTTTACAATTTTCCCACTAATGTGTTAATATTTTAAAATTAGTAGTGTCTTTTTTTTTTTAAAGGGATAGTATCTCTGAGGTTTGTTGACTTAGGTAATCATCAGGTAAACAACTCAGAATCACAATGAGATGTCATCTAACTCCAGTTATAATGATGATTATTAGAAAGACTGAAATGCGCAAATGCTGTCACAGAGGTAGACAATGGGGAGCTCTGACACACTGGTGGTGGAATTGTGGGTCAGCTGGCCTGATTATTTCCCAGAGCTTGCTGAGGATGGAATGATAGGGCATGAAAATATTTTGAAGAGAGAGCTGTACAAATGCAAGGTTTGTTATGATCTATTGTAGAGTAAATGTGTTTCCTCCAAAAGTATATGAAAACATTTTTACTTGTTCAATGAAAGCTCAATGTCTTCTTATTTCCTGGTGTGCTCCATTCCAGACATTGCTCTTTGCTTGAGATAAACTGATTTATAGAGCAATATTAAATTAGAGTGAGAAAATGTGAATTAACGAGGTTCTTAGAACCAGTTGTCCAGTGATTCTGAGATCAAAATTTCAAAGAAAAAAAGAGAGAGAAACAACACCATGTATTGGGACAATAAAATGAAGGCAGAAGATTCATTGCCTGGAGAACGAGAGTCCTGTTAGCCAGACATGGTGTTTCTGAGCTAACTCAGATTTTTTAGTGAGGATTTCCTCTGGATAAGCCTGTGGTCATGGGAGCTCATAAACTCACTACTTGAGTCTTTTGTTATTTGCTATTTACCAGTATCTTACTTCACTCAGCTATGTAACAGTTTGAAACTATTTGATGATCTCTTTGAAATAATGCTCATCTTTACACAGTGAGCTTTAAACAATAATAAAATGTGCTAATGCTTGTGAAATACTGAGAGGGCTGTCTGGCATAAGAAAAGTTAGTTCTCTTCTCAGTGCCACTCCTGAATGTTCTGAATAGGTTGTGTGTTCTTAGAGTCTTTTTTTTTAAATATTTATTTATTTATTATGTATACAGCATTCCTTCCATGTATGTCTGCAGGCAGAAGAGGGCACCAGACCCCATTACAGATGGTTGTGAGCCACCATGTGGTTGCTGGGAATTGAACTCAGGACCTTTGGAAGAACAGTCAGTGCTCTTAACCTCTGAGCCATCTCTCCAGCCCCCATGTTCTTAGAGTCTTAAGGACTGATGTTGGCAGAGGCCTCTTCTTTGTTCCTGGCTGCACAGTACAGAAATAATCACTCAGAAACTATATTATTTGCAAAACTGTTTGGCCAATATCTTAAGCATATTTCTGGCTAACTTTTATATCTTAAATTAACCCATTTCTATTAATCTGTGTATCACCATGCAGCTTTGGCTTACTGGCAAAATTCCAGAGAGTCTGTCTTTTGCAGGTGGCTACATGGCTTCTCCTGGACTCCACCTACTCTCTCTATCCTCTCTTTGCTTGGAAGTCCTTCCTTGCCCTATTCTGTTAAGCCACTGGCTGAAACAGCTTTATTCATTAACCAATAAAAGCAACACATAGACAGAAGGACTTCCCACACTATTTCCCCTTTTCTGTTCAAATAAAAGGAAGGTTTTAATTTTAAAAAAGTAAAATTAAATATAACAAAACAGGTATAAAACAAGAATTACAGTTTCAATATTTATATCTTCTTTATCTTCTACCATAACTAAGGAAAACTATATCTATTCTTCACCTCCATTAAAGACTCCAGAAGAATATAACTTTACCTAAGTAAACAGATAGTGCATTGTAAGCAGCTTCCAAAACTCTAAAATTGACAGAGCTATCTGTTTGCCTGGATAGTCATCTGCAGTTCTTCTGTAATATTGCAGACACCCATCTTCAACCTACTGGCCCATAGTATCTGGCAGACTTTTCCATGAAGACAGTTCCACCTATATGGGCAGTTTGTCAGTCACTTTCTTCTGTGTCCTGCAGAATGTCTGGCAGACTCTTTCACAAAGCAGGAATCCTGAAG